TAGGTGAAACAGTTGGCCACAAGTTGGTCATTTTGAGGCTCTGTGGCTTCACCTCATTTTCTCTACATTTGCATAAAATGTTTCATAATTTAAAAAAAGGTAAACACACAAGATTAAAGCTTATACTATCTTTGTCAATAAACAAAACAGTGTTTAAACCCTAATCTTACCATATTAATGTATTTGCAGATGAGATCATGTTATGTCTAGAATATGCTTTAAAATACTCCAAAGATGAGGCAAGGCTGGGCGTGGTGGCTCACGCCTATAATCCTAGCACTCTAGGAGGCTGAGGCTGGTGGAATGCCTGAGCTCACGGGTTCAAGATCAGCCTGAGCAAGAGAGAGACCCCATCTCTAAAATTAGCCAGGCATTGTCATGGTGCCTGTCAAGTCCCAGCTACTCGGGAGGCCAAGGCAAGAGGATTGCTTGAGCCCAAGAGTTTGAGGTTGCTGTGAACTATGACACCACGGTACTCTACTGAGGGGGACAAAGTGAGACTGTCTTAAAAAAAAAAGTGAGACAAGGTTGGACGAATGTTGGTAACTGATGCAGCAGGGCGCTGAGCTTGGGTTTCTCCTCCCTGACTCTCCACATACAGGGAAATTTTGAACATGTCCCTGATAAAATTCTTAAAAGAGAAGCATTTAAATCCTAAGTGGCCATGTGACCTGAGAAGCTCCCCACCAGCTCTCTGAACCTGACTTCTCACTGCTCCGCCCTGAGCCAATGTCTGTGACTGTTACTGTTGTTATTTTTATTGCCACTGGTTTGATCTATGAACCAGCACCAGCTGATCACTTTCCCGCTTGTCTCCCAGAGAAAATGCAGTGCTCCGAGCCTGACGTGGCCCCAAGTGGCCCTTGGAAAGACAGTGTCTACAGGCAATGTCTCTACCTTCAGTTGAAGCACTTGGAGCAGGCACTGCAGCTGGTGGGACCCCACGGCTTTCCCCAGCAGCACAGCCATACCAGGGCACTCCAGCAGCTTCAGACCCTGAAGGGCTGCCTTGGGGGCCAGCCAGGCTCCCTGGCCCCAGCGTACACCAGGTAATCCTCTACCCTGGGTGGCCACCTGTCCTCCCCAGCCTGGGGCCCACTAAAAGGACGTCCAGCCCAGACCCCCTCCCCCAGGCAGAAATGATTCAGAATTCCAGCGAATATTCTGGGAGACCAGGTTTAAACAGGGGTAATTTCTGAAAGGCACTTACAGCCCTTTGAAGAGTACTTCACAGTTCATGACCATTGTCATGTGGGCTGTTTCCTAGCTGTGCACCGTGGGAGCAGGCCTTCAACTTCTCTGAGGCTCAATTTCCTTATGTACAAAATGGGGATAATAATTCTTATCTCCTGATTCAAATTTAAAAACGAAATATATCAAGGCACGGTGCCTCACACCTGTAATCGCAGCACTCTGGGATTGCCTGAGCTCACTGGTTTGAGATCAGCCTGAGTAGAAGTGAGACCTCGTCTCTAAAAATAGCCAGGCATTGTGATGGGCATCTGTAGTCCCAGCTACTTGGAAGGCTAAAGCAAGAGAATCGCTTGAGCCCAAGAGTTTGAGGCTGCTATGATCTATGATGCCACAGCACCCTATCAAGGGTGGCAAAGTGAGACTCCGTCTCAAAAAATATATACAAATACATGTATAATTTTTTAAAATTATATATTAGTTTTATATATTAAAAAATATACATATTCATATATAATTTTAAAAACAACCAGAGGCATTTGAATACAAACAGGTTATTTGATAGCATGAAGGGATTATTGTTAATTTTGTTGTGTGACAATGGGATTGTAATTCAGTAAGAAAATGACCATTTTTGTGATGAAGTAATTAGGAATGATTTTGTATTATAGCCAGAACTTATTTTTAAATATCTCAGCCCCTCCACCCAGTATAACAGGAGGTGATGGTTATTGCAACTGTCGGATGGACGCCTGGGAGCTTGTTGTGCTTGCTAATTTTCATATGATGAGAAATTTTCATAGTAAAATTCACTTGGTAAAAGTGATACCATGCCAGCCTTCTAGGCTTGCCATGAGGAGTAACAGAGCAAAGCTATACAAAGCAGGGTCAGGCCCTTAGGAAGTGCTGAGCAAATGTGAATGCTTGTGTGCTCAGTAGAATAGACCTTGGAGGCAAGTGCATCTAGGTTATGGAGGAGAAACTGAAGGGTCTGAGAGGTCCAAGAGATTGGCCAAGGTCATGCAGGTGGTGGGGGTGGAGTGGGGTCTGACCTTGAGCCTGCTGGGGCCACCCTAACTAAGTCTACTTCTTTGCAGGGCACCTCGGATGAGCAGGCCCCCTGGAGGCCTGCCCTGGTGGTGCATCTTTGTGGGCTGGCTCCTGGTGGCAGCCACCAGCGTTGTTGCTGCCTTCTTCACCATGCTCTATGGCCTGCACTATGGACGGGCCAGCTCCCTCCGGTGGCTTCTCTCCATGGCCGTCTCCTTCATGGAGAGCATGTTCATTACCCAGCCCCTGAAGGTCAGAGCCCATCCCCACCAAGCTGCCCTCTTCATTTCCATCCATCCTTCCCCTCTCACTAACAGTCTTGTCTTTGGACTTCGGCCATTCGTTCATGTATTCATTCAACAAACATACAGAAGTGCCACCTCTGTGCAGCCCCATGAAGAAAATGAGGATGATAACCCAAGTTAATGGACACTATAGCTCTGGCTTAATGTTTTTTTTTTGTTTTTTTTTTTATTGGGATACTGGCATTTTCTAATCACAGTCACCCTTTGGGTCCTCCTCTGTTTTATGGGTGATAAAAATTGAGGTTATGAAGTTAATGTTGGTTCAGGTGCAGTGGATCACACTTATAATCCTAGCACTCTGGGAGACCAAGGCCGGTGGATTGCTTGAGCTCACAGGCTGGAGATCAGCCTGAGCAAGAGACCTCATCTCTAAAAACTAGCGGAGCATTGGGCAGGTGCCTGTAGTCTCATCTACTTGGGAGGCCAAGACAAGAGGATCACTTGAGTCCAAGAGTTGAAGGTTGCTATGAGCTGTGATGCCACGGCACTCTACCCAGAGTGACAAAGTGAGAGTCTGTCTCAGAAAAGAAAAGAAGTTAAGGTTGGCTGGGCATGGTGGCTCATGGCTATGATTTGGTGCCCTGAGATAGGAAGACTGCTTGAGGCAAGGAAGTTCCAGACCAGCCTGGACAACACAGTGAGACCCCCAACATCTCTACACAAAATAAAAAAATCAACTGGGCATGATGGTGCACCTGCAGTCCCAGCTGGGAGGTTGAGGCAGGAGGGTCGCTTGAACCCAGGAGTTTGAGGTATAGCTCATGCAGTGAGCTATGATTATACCACCATTAGAGATGTCACCAAACCCCCTTTGTTTCCCCATTCTATCCTTTATCCTAAGACCCAAAAAACTCCCAGCATCTCCCTCAACACTAGCCTCGGAGAGGATTAAGAACCGGGTGTGTGCTGAGCCTTTTCTTTCCTCACCAAACCAGAGGATCCTTCCCTGTTTTTTAAAATGATTAACACAGGCTAGGTGCCTTGTAGCTCAAGTGGCTAAGGTGCCAGCCGCATACACAAGAGCTGGTGCATTCGAATCCAGCCTGGGCCTGCCAGACAACAATGACAACAGCAACCAAGGGATGGCGGGCATTGTGGTGGATGCCTGTAGTCCCAGCTACTTGGGAGGCTGAGGCAAAAGAATCTCTTAAGCCCAGGAGTTGGAGGTTGCTGTGAGCTGTGATGCTACAGCACTCTACCCAGGGTGACAGCTTGAGGCTTTGTCTCAAAAAAAAAAAAAAAACAAAGAAAGAAAGAAGGGAAGAAAAAAGAAATGATTAACACAGAAGCAGAAAGAAAGGGAGGGGTAGGGAGGGGACCCACAGGAGGAGTGATGTGCCCTGCTGAGAGATGACAGACCTCAACCAGGCTAGCAGCAGCTGGGACTCAGAGGACTCACCCGTCTCTCTTTTTTTTTTTTTTTGAGACAGAGCCTCAAGCTGTCCCCCTGGGTAGAGTGCTGTAGCATCACAGCTCACAGCAACCTCCAACTCCTGGGCTCAAGCGAGTCTCCTGCCTCAGCCTCCCAAGTAGCTGGGACCACAGGAGCCTGCCACAACGCCCGGCTATTTTTTGGTTGCAGCCGTCATTGTTTTGGTGGGTCTGGGCTGGATTCGAACCCACCACCTTAGGTGTATGTGGCTGGTGCCTTTGCCACTTGAGCCACAGGCGCTGAGCCATCACCCATATCTCCGATCTGAGGCCAGTGTGCAAGGCCTGGGCGCTCACTCTTCATAACCGCTGCCTTTGAGCCAAGTGATGAGAGTTACCAATGGAATGTGGGGATCCCTGGGTCTTTTCCAGGTGCTGGGATTTGCTGCTTTCTTTGCGCTGGTCTTGAAAAGAGTGGACGAGGAGGAGGATATGACAGCCCCCCTGGCAGGACATCTGTCTCACCCAGGTACATGCTTCACCTGGGGGGCAGAGGCAGGGGCCAGGCCAGCTGGAGGCCCTCCACAGTCCAGCACTGGGGGTGGGCAGAGGGGCCCAGGCCTCCTCAGACCTTCATCCCCCATCAGCCTTTCACCTCAAACTAGCCAGGAAAAGTGACTCCATCTCCCAAATAGCCTCATTCCTTCCCTACCCAGCCTTTCTCTCTGACACCCAAGCACAACCCTTCACAGAAGTACCTTGGGACTGAGCTGTCTTTGAGGACTATCCTTCCCTGTAGAATTCCAAGCAAGTGGAATTCTTTTCCAGCCCTCATGGCCCTGAGCTTTAGAATAAAAACCAAAAAAAGAGTCAATTTGCAGATGGGCTGCAAAAAGTGGCTCTAAATTAGACTTCTAGGACAAAGGCCTACAATCTACAGCCATAGGCCAAATCTTGCCCACTGCCTGTTTTTATAAATAAAGTTTTATTGGAACACAGTCATACTGTCCTAGGAGAGCCAAGCCCTTTCCTCCCCACCTGACTGATTTTTTCACTATCTAACTAGAACTCTGGAGGATGCTAATGATAAGAGAATTACGAAAACAAGCAGACAAAACAGAACTGACAGTGTGATATTCAAAGACACAGAGAGCTCTTGACTTTCAGGGAAAATAAACAAAAACAAACAAGCTAAAGCCCAGGCACATACATGGTGTGTGCAGTGTGGTGCCCCCTCCTGGCCTGTGTTCTTCCATTCTGGGATGGGGTTTGGGGTCTGCCGATCCAAGAGGTCCACTAACATCTTCTCAAGATAAAAGAATAATGTTTCTCTAAAAGATGCCAGCCTTCTGACTTATTAAATATTCATTCAGTCATTCGTTTGGAAATTCTTCAGAGCTTAGTGCCAAGCAAGGCGATGGCTTGGAAATGTAATTGACATAAAATTCACCCATTGTAAATGCATGATTAGTTGATTTTAGTAAATTTATAGTTTAACCATCATCTCAATTCAGATTTGGAATAACTTCATCATCCCAGAAGGTTCCCTCTTGTGCACTCAATGTCAATCCCTATCCAGGCCCCCAGCCCAGGCAACACTGACCGGATGGACCAGTCACTGCCCTTGGAATGAACAGCCCATTTGGGGGAGACAATATTAAGCAAGTAAAATGCCCAAGTAGACAGAGAAGTGGAATAATGATGAGCAAGGTTGGGGGAAAACAGGAGAGAGCAGGCCCCTGCTGGGGCTGAGCCTAAGCTAACTGCTAAAGGAGGGGGAAGGGAAGGACCACACTCAGCATATGCAAAGGCCCTGGGGTTGGACAGAACTTGTTGTTTTACATTAATTATTGACAGTGTGGCTGGAGCATGGTGAATTGGGGCTGAGGAAGAATGGTTTGAGGTGAGGATAGAGAGGTGGGTAGGAAACCAGCCATGCACAGCCTCAGAAAAACTGGGGCAAGGCTGAGCTTATTTTATTTATTTATTTATTTATTTTGCAGTTTTTGGCCGGGGCTGGGTTTGAACCCACCACCTCTGGCATATGGGGCCGGTGCCCTACCCTTTTGAGCCACAGGCGCTGCCCTATTATTTTATTTTATTTTATTTTATTTTGTTTTTTGTTTTTTTCTTTTTTTTTTAATTGAATGGTAACTATGTACATTAATGCACTTCTGGGGTACAGTGTGGGGTTTTCACACACAATCCGAAACACTTCCATCAAACTGGTTAACACAGCCTTCGTGTCATTTTCTTAGTTATTATTTTAAAACGTTCACATTCTGCTCTTAGAAAGATTCACTTGTACCCCTGTAAGATAAACCTCAGAAGTGATCCCTCCAATCCCCATCCCTCCACCCATTCCCCCCTTCCCTCTCCCTCCCCTCTTCCCGTATTCTTAGGCTTATTATTTTATTTTTGATGCAGGAATCTCACTTTGTTGCCCTCAGTAGAGTACCATGGTATCATAGCTCACAGAAGCCTCAAATTCCTGGGCTTAAGTAATCTTCTTGCTTCAGCCTCCCAAGGAGGGACTACAGGCCAGGCACCAGTCGCAATGCCTGGCTATTTTGGGGAGGGGGGGAGGATAGGGTCTTGCTCTTGCTCAGGCTAGTCTCAAATTCCCGAGCTCAAGCAATCCACCTGCCTCAGCCTCCCAGGATGCTGGGATTACAGGTGTAAGCCACCTTGCCCAGCCCTCAGAAGACTTTAAATAGGAGGATGTCACAACTGTTTCGTAATTTTAGAAAGGTTACCATGATCGATTTTGGAGACCAAACAGTCACAAGTGGCAATGGAGAGACCATTAGCAGGGAGGCTATTGTAATGGTTCAGGCAAGAAGTAACAAATGCTGGCGTGGAGGGGCGGGAAAGTGTAGACAGAAGGGCATGGATCCCCACGGCAGTGGGTCAATTCGCCCTGCTGGCCAGGGTGTGGCCAGGTTTATACATTGCTGATGGAAATGTGAAAGATAGTTGGGTTGTTTCTTTCAAAATTAGTAACAGACTCACCCTGTGACCCAGACATTGTAGTCTTGAGCATTTATTCCAGAGAAATAGAAACTTATTTTCATGCAGGAACTCGTACACAAAGGTTCACAGCAGCTTCATTTGTAATAGCCAAAATATCGGGCAACTTCTAGGAATCTACCCAAGAAAAATGATGATACATGTCCGCAGAAACACCTGCACAGAAATGTTCATAGCAGCTTCCCCGTAACAGACAAAACAACCCCCAAACGCCTGCCCACTGCTGGGTGGATGATCCAAATGTGTAACAAATATCTCTCCGAGGGAATACTGCTCAGCTATAAGCACGAACTAACCACAAAGACACATGGCAATGCCATTGAACTTGGAAACTCCATGCTAAGTGAGAGAAGCAGGAGGCAAGACCCCACATACTGTCTGGTTCCATTTACAGCAAATGTCCCCAAAAGGAAAGTGTGTAGGGACAGATGCGTGGGGCTGAGGGACGGGGGACTGCGAGTGGAGACGGACTCTACCAGGGCTCCGGGGAACCCTTTGGGGGATGAAAATGTCCTAAACTAGGACTAGGACGTTTGTCCTAGGACTAGGTTGTGGTGGTACAAATGTACTAAAATCATTACATTGTAGACTTTGGATGGATGAGTTTAATGATAAGGATAACTTGATAAAATGGATTGAATAGGAAGATACTTGGAGATAGGCAGGACTCTGAGACATTAGTCACCCTCAACTTCGAATCTGTCAAAGTTTTGGAAGTGTCAGGGAGGGAGTCCTGGGATAAGATTTCGGGGAGGAGAGGGTGTGTGTCATTTCAGTATATAAGAATCTACCTAGTGAAGAAGGCTCAGGGTTATGGGTCTGAGATGGGCCTGAGATGGCTCAGCAGATGCGCGGAGGGGACAGCTAGGAGTGACCCTCCAGGAAGAGGGGTGTGGAGCATTGTGCACCTGGGGGAGAGGGGCCTCCTGGGCTCAAGGGTAGAGCCTGCTCCCCGGCCCCCTCCAGGAGACCACCCTGGTGTCCTGCCTTCCACAGGTCCCTATGCCATGTTCCGTGCACGAAGGAACAGCAGCAGGGACGTCTACCAGCCTCCTCTCACCACCACCATTGAGAAGATGAGAGCCGCCCACCTGAAGGAGCAGAAAGCCTTTGCCCTCATCAGGGAAATCCTGGGTAGGTGCCTTCGTGCCCGCTGGCTCTCAGCACACACATCTTCGACAAGCCCCCACACCACTTTGGGGCCTCAGTTTCCCTAGCTGTTGACACACCCCAGCTTCTTCCTTACACTTAAAATCCTTCAGCAGCCCCTCTTGGCCATTAGGACAAAGTTCAAATGCCCCACTGTGGCTTCAGCCACCTTGAGTGCCCTCTCTGGGCCCCGAGTGGCAATCACACTGGCCTCTGCGGTGGCAGAGACCCCGGCCCGCTCCATGCCCCAGGCCCGTGCCCAGGATTGTTCCCTTTTACCTGCCTGGAGTGTGCTCATCCCTCTCCCCACCTCCTCTTCTGGCTAATTCCTCTGCTTTTTCAAATCTCAGCCCAAACACGGTGTCTTCAGAGGGGCTTCCCCGGGGCCTCTGGCCAGAAACCTGCACACCTGAGTGTGCATCCAAGTCTGGGTTTCCCAGAAG